TCTTAAATTACTGTTTACATATTTGTTATTTTATTATAGACAAATATATTGTATTCATATTTCTACATTATTGGTAATTTATCATATTTCTATATTAAGTAAATTATTATAAATAAGAGAACTCTCACTTTCATTTAGGTGGATTGGATTCAGCAAACATTTACAATATGAAAATTCGAATCTCTAATTTTTTAATCAAGAATATATATTTTAATCCGTTGAATAATATTTAAGTCGATTTTAACTCTAGTTGAAATACAACTTTTATTTCTTTTTTTAAGATCGATAGCTCACGTAATATAGACTCAACTTTTGTGCCAAAACGAAAGCAATAAATTCAATCTTATGCCAACGTCTCGAGCTGAACTCAAGTCGTTTATGTATATTACATCTTTCGACTAAGAGATTAAAGCTCTAAATAATAAATTACACACCCTTTCTCGCTGGTTGACGCGAAAAGTTGCACACAATTCAATAAGTAGTTATCGACATTACTAATGGTAGAGTAAACGAAGTTACTACGATCGAACACAAATACTCTAATACCTCACTAAATTACCACGGAACCTATAAACTTGAACGGACCGAGTGTGAGATCCCACATAAGTTCGACAGGAAGAACGAGATATTGTTATAAAGATGTGAAAATCTCTCCTTAGCAGACACGTTTTAAAAACTTTATGAGTTGGGAAAAAAAAAACTTCAAAGATTATAATATCTACTAGCGGTAAACTCGAACCGTTACAAAAAGTTGCGATATTGAAAGCGTTCGGGTTAAATGATGAAGAGAGAGAGAGGTCAAAGTGAGGAAGAAAGGGGGAAGGGAGGGCCGCACGAGGGGTCTCTGAGATATCATCAGAACTTAAAGTTTTCCCCTTTTTTTTTCCTTTCTCTTTCTCTCTCCCCCCTCTCAACGATTCCATCTGTGGGCTCCCACTTTCTCTCTCTACAAAACTCTCTTTCGAAATCTCTCTGTCTGTTCGTGTTTTTTAAAACTTTCTTCTTAAACTGAGGTCAGAGGCTCGAGTATATGTTGCTTTGCCCTAGGCGACACAAGAATAAATAGACTTAACTCACTGGTTGTTGGAAAGTGAGTGGTGCACGATTACAAGTCCGCTGTCATCAAAGTGCGAATTTGTCAAATTTAGACAGAAAGTCGACCCAAAGATGGTGATTTGAAATAATGTGACAGAGTGAGTGATTTGTTTGAAGTAAATTTGTTGACTAAACATGCAATACGAAGAAAGTCGATATATTAGTGACTTGAAATGAATTCGTTGCAATAGTATGCTAGTTTTGTTATATAATTGTTTCAAAATTACCCGTTTTAAGTTTAAATTTATTCGATTTTTAGACAAAAAGTCTACATGATGGTTACTCAAGCCTACCACTTGCATATTATCCGCTTTAGTCTGTTACGTATTGTTGTCAGCCACTTAGTACAGTATTACCGTGATAGCCCAAGCTCACCGTTAACAGATATTGTCCGCTTTAATCTGTTACCTATCGTTGTTAGCCACTTAGTACAATATTGTTGTGATAGCCTAAGCCCACCGCTAGTAAATATTGTCCACTTTAGTTCATTATATATCACTATCAGCCACATAATTTTAAAACGTGTCTGCTAGGAAGAAGTTTCTACAGGAGGTTCACGCACGAATAGTTTTGAAATATCAGCATTTATTTCAAACCACTCATACCTTTCACTATTTTCTTACCTTTTTATAAAAATTAAATTTACATGTAATATTATAATTTTTTTAAAAATAAGGATAGATTTGACACAAATTTAAGACTGGTAATATTTCTGGTGCAAATAATAAATTAGAATCTCATCATAAAAAAATTTAATATCGATTGTATCGTCGATAATCGAAGTGTCACTATCATATATATAAGAATTAGTTGTATAGACATGTCCGATTAGCTCTACAATTGATAGGCTATAAAGCGCATGGTACATATCTCGGATACGTGTCTGTGTCTGTGTATGTGTGTGTGTATATATATATATATATACACGCGTGTGTATAGTAAGAAATGACAAAAGAAAATAAAAGAACAAGAGCGGATGCTTGTTCTTGTCCCATGTTTCCTTACCAAAACGCCCTTTGTGATAACATTGTCCGAATTGACAAATCATTTTGGATATTTCATTAATTTAGAATTTTACGTCATAACGATAAGTCATTATTAAAGGGAACTACGACGTTAGGTTACAATCATTGTTCTTGTCTTATGTTTTAACTCTCGAACTATATCTAAAATTTAAGAGGTTATTAGAAATTTTTATAATGAAATGAAAAAGCATCTCTCTCTCCTCCCGACGTTGAATAGTCTTGAAAATTTGAACAGTGAAGAATAAATCACGTAAAGATCAAAGCTTAAAAGTGTGTAGAGGAATAAATTCGATCGATTTACATATTTTTAACGTTTTTTCAGGTTTATCACGTGACATAACGCAAAAGGAAATTTCAAGTTCAAAGATTTTGAATTTGAATTTACAAGCACGGAATGTAACCATATGAAAATTACACGTTCAAGAAATTTGAACTCACGAACACTTACTCGTTATTCTTCTTTCATTATCTCTCGACCCTAATAATTTCGAGAAAAAAAAGGCATTAATTAAGAGAGAAATTTTGAATAATGTTACATTATTATTAGCCATGGGAGAGAGATAGAGAGGGAGAGAGCAAAATGAAGCACTAATCTTTTGTACTCCGAGAATTACCTTGTATGAACAAAACAAAACAAAACAAAACGAAGAAGCCCATCAGCGGCGGCGCTACGGCGGCGGCGGTGGTGGTGGAGATATATCAAGGGTCGCCACGTTCATGCCAGCAAAGAAGCATAGCCACACAGCGGCGGAGGATGTAGAATTTAGTGCGCTGTTTTTTAACCAAATTGCTGCATTTTTTACCAAAAGATCTACAAGGATCACATGGGTATTCCCCAATTTCACTCTTTTCCTTCACTCCTTCCATTTTTAACTGCCTCTCCAACAATATTTACTGCTGCTACAAATGGCTGAACCCCTTTCTCTCTGTTTTTTTTACAGTTTTTCGCTCTGTTTTTTTTTACCTCTCCTTCTCCCCAATTCTGGGTTTGTGCTGAAAATTGCAGAAGAAGAAGAAGAAGAAGAAGAAGAAGAAGAAGAAGAGATGGGTTTTGTGTGTGTAAATGACTGTTGAAATATGGAACCCACCATTTTATTAACAACAAATGGTAACAGGTAGCCACATGAAACAAAGAATGGGCCAATCCTCTGCCACACCATTTCTTTTATTTTTTTCTTTCTTACCCTGTTCTTAATTTAATTTTTATTTTACACCGGTAGACATTCGAATATTCAACCTCTCGATTAATCATATACGTCTAAATCAATTTAGTTATGTTCGAGATTTTTTTAGTTCGATAATGGTAGAAGTGAGGTATTGAATTATCATACGTTTAAGATAATAATTAATTGAGATATATTTGGATCAATAAAAACATTAATAAAAATTGATTTAAACCTAAAGGATGATGCAATAGACTCGGTGAAAACATTAAAAATATATTGTACTCTAAAAATTTTGTCTATTTTTTCTTTTGAATGACGTGTGATGAGGTTGATAGAGTTGGTGAATATACTCGAACATTGCAACTATATGCTAGATTCGTGAAAATATTAAAAATATAAAGTACTATAAAATTTGTTTTTTTTTTCTTTTGAATTATGAATTATGAGATCGGTTCGGTGAGTCGATGAATATGTTCGAGCATCGTAACTATATGGTAGAACGACACTCTTATGACCTAATAGAATTTTGGGTAATTTAATACAAAAAATTATATAGGTCAATATAAAAATAATAATATAAAATGATTAAATATTTGAATAGTTAAAANAAAAAAAAAAAAAAAAAAAAAAAAGGATAATGAAGAATTCAATGTATAATTGAGGGAATTTGAAATTCATGTACCTTAAAATGATCCATTATCAATAAAAGGTAAAGAAGGGACCCATATAGTAAATGCTAAGAATATTATTAAACTAATATATATAATTTTTTTTTTTTTAAACTAAACTTTTAAATTTATAATAAGATGAAGTAAATGTGGCACAAAATAAAGACTCGGCCGAGTAATAGAGCCTTTGGTTCTAGAGCATAGATTTATATGAAATAATTCCACGAGCTTTCACTTCGAGCACGTTAGATGTATGAGGCAAAGGGCTCGTAATACCCCCTTTCCTTTGTTGAGCTGCTTTGTCCACCTCCTTTGTCGAGCTGCTTCATCCATATAGTTGCGAGCTAGAGTTGTTATAGCTTATGACTAGAGCCATAGAAAGAATCGTAAAGTTTTTTTTTTTTTTTTTTTTTTTTTTTTTTTTTTTTTTTTTTTTTTTT